AATTCACAAAATGATATTATGCTTGAAAAGGTAGAATCCGTGACTTAGGTTTATCTGCCAAAGCCTGCTTTGCCCTGAGCCAGGACAACTTCTTTAGCTCTTCCTTCAAAATCCTCCTTGTTCAGGAGGAAGTAGAGGATTCTTTAAAGCCTGCCACAGGCTTTTGACTCCTGCAGGGTTATCCAGATATGCTTTACAATGTCTCAATTTAAAAAAAAAAAAAGAAAGAAGATAAAGATTTCAGATGCTATAATCAGGGTTACTTTTCTTGAATCTTTAGGGGAAAAGGAAAAGTGCCTTGAAAGTAACAGAGTCTCATGAACAGCTGTAATGTGAAATATGTTAATAGAAGGTCAAGAAACTAATAAATGCACATGAGCGTATTAGAGTTTCGTTGTGTGATGTCTCATGTTTGAAGCTGCTGCTTTATAGCTGTGTTAAGCTATCACACACTTCCCTGCTACTGTTCCAGCCTCCTCCACGGAAGCCCTGTGATCTGCATCTGTGTGGCATTAATGATTTGCTTCCTCCTAAACTGGGGCCACTGCGAGCATTTTTAGACTTCAATTAGCAATGTTTCGAAGGTAGCAGTCAAAACAAATGTGTTGTTCTTTTAATTATTCATGTTGATCACAATCAGCTTTATTAACAGGAACTGTAAAAAAAATAATAATTCGTGGCTTCCAAAAAGAATACCCATTCATTGGAGCATCTGCAATGGTAGTTTTCATGTTATAAAGTAAAATATTTTATTCAAACAAGGGGCAGACTTAACAGATAATTAGAAAAGTTGTAACCAAAACTGTGGTCTCATGAGTTTTAAAAATATTTAGGGGAATTCTTTGAATATGAGATAAAAGAAGTGAGATTTACATTACAGCCAGGGTTTAAAAAAAATAAATACATACGAGAATCCATATGATTGAAACAATAAACATCACAATAATATCAACTCTAGGGATTTAAATAAACTCTGAGGATTTAAATAATTACTCCACATTATTCTGGTACATTGTTTAATACATGCCAGCTTGTCCTGATAGACGCTGGCAACAGATAGCTGTGGATGACTTGGCTGCCATATTGGTGTGTGGAGGCAAGAGGGAGACAGCTAGAGATAGAGACATACACAAGCTGTGGGAGAAGAGTCTGCAGGTAGGTAAAGAGAATGTGAGAATGTGAGGTCAGTTTAGTCAGATCTAAAGCAAACGGTGGGCTCTATAGAAGCATGTCTTCATGTTTGGCAAGGGAGAGTTTACAATCTACAGTTCTGCCTTTTGAAAATCCGGTGGTTCTTCCATCATGCACTCTGGAACCGTCAATTCACCATATGAAGTTTGCAGAACTGATAGCCTTTCTGCCTTTAAAATACAAGTAAGAAATGCAGTTCAATAGAGGCCACTGAGGGGGAAAGCTGAATGTTCCCTGTGCACAAAAGACCAAACAAGTGATGTGTATGTTCAGAGAGAGGATTCAGGGAGCCCACATCAGTACCAGGAAGCAATTAAATTGATAATTTAAAAAGTTTATGGAAGTAATGACTATGTGAGGCTGTGTGTGTGTGTGTGTGTGTGTGTGTGAAGATTGTGTGCACATGGAGATTGTGGGTGTGTGTGGGGAGTATAGATTTAGAATGATTACAAACTAAATTTTTACTTAAAAAATTATTGGTTTTGCTTAGATTTAGTATGTCTCTTCAATGTCACCTTCCAAGGTCACACAGTTTCTTTCATTTTAAATTGAAATTGCAGAATAACACAGCTATCTACATGTTAGTTAAAAAAAACATAACTTTAATATAGGGAATGTAAACTATGAAAATTATTTCTGAATATTCTAATGGTTTGTCTACATGGGTTATGCTTGATATGCAGGTATTGCTATGAAATTGAAAATTGGGTAATAGTTATTGATTAAATATTAAAATAATCATAATTTGAACTTTTAAACTTTATAATTAACAGATATGTGTATGTAAAAATTTGGGACATTTCAATGGATGGATTGGGACATTCAAACATAATTTCATAGACATTTGTGCATTTATATGTGTACATATATGTGCGTTAATATGATATACATGTTGTATATGTATATATACACATGCATATATGTATACATAAATAATTATTTGTATACATTTATTTTCCTATTCATTGTGTGTTATGATGTGCCAAATTCTATACTAATTCCCATAGTTAAACAGCAAATCATGCATAACCTCGCCTCATGTAAGTTATAATTCAGTAAAGGAGATGGAAAAGAAAATAGGCAATTTTAGTGCTATACATCTGGGAAAGAGACAAGTCCAAGTTGTTCTTGGGAAGCATAATATACAAGAGCAAACTACTTCAAATTTGAGAAATCATGGAAATGGTTCCCATGGAAAATGTAAAGGTAAGGACTGAAAATTTTGAAAACAAAATATAAGTGCAATCTAATCACAATATTGAAATGATTGAGCTTCATTTGAGTAATGACTATGTAATTACTGATATTTTCAGCCATCAATTTCATAATCCCTTAATATCTTGTTATATCAGTTGGCAAACATGTCCTTCCAGGGCAAGCAATAATGCCAAAAGTAATATAACTGGAAGCCTAACATAGAAAAGAGAGCACAACTTATGGTCTCTCACTGCAAGGCATTTACAGTCCAGCCATGGCGCAAGTCTATTATCCATGAAATAAGAACGGACAGCGTAACAGTATTTGAACATGTGGTAGGATGAAAGCACCATAATTACCTCAGAAAACTTATCTTCCTTCAGGCTAAAAGCCATGTCTCAATCATGCTCCTATTGCTAGCTTGAGGGTCTATATTTGGGAGTAGGTAATATAAAGCATAAATCAGGGGTCATGAGAGAGCTCTATTAACTTGATACCAAAGGTAAAAGGACACCAGTTTGTTTGAATAAAGAAAACCAAATATTAAAGGTACTGCCTTAAAGTAGATTTTTCTGGAGTTACTGCCCATGATCTGTGTGGAAGAAAAATAAAGGAATAGTAGAGGTGGGATCCAAAACCTTTGGAAGTCAAGATGATGGTATGAGTGTTCAGAAAGAGGAGTGAGGAGTCACGTGACAATGGAGGAGAAGCTGCTTCATAAGATTACTGGATAGGTTGGGGCTGAAGAGATGCCTCAGCTGGTCATAACACACACCCATATATGTGTATAATACCCACAAATGTGTGCACGGTAAGACATACACACACACACAATTGTGTATCAATGGTGGTAGGTAAAATAAACACCCAAAGAAAAGGTTGAGGGAAGCAGTTTGGCGAGATGCTTATGAAGGGTGAATCTGGCATATTTTACTTCTTGCTTTTAGTGAGAAAGAAGTCTCAGAACAAATGACTAGTTAGTACTTGAAGATCTAAGAACATGGTGAAACATGGATCTGCTTATAACCAAAGTCTTTAGCTTTACAGTCTGCCATATACTTAGCTGATACTTCCTGAAACATTCCATGCCCTTGCAATTATGAGAATGTTGGGAACAGAACAGTGAACACAGGAAGTAATCCCTCTACCCGAGCAGACTGACATTTCAATGAGTAACAAATAAATAAAATGCAGTGAGGTCTAAAGAAAATATTGAACAAGAGTAAAAATAAAGGAGTTAAAGGAGATTGGACAAGATTTATTTTAAATTTTATAATTCTCTCTTTCTCTCTCTCGTATATGTGTGTAGACATACATATGCCATGGTGCATGGATATAGTCCAGAAGACAGATTGATGATGTCAGTTCTCATGAAATGGACTCCACCACAGCAAGGGTCTCACGGGGTCCGCCCAACAGTACACAGTCATTATTTGACATACTGCCTAGGATATTTACCATGATTCCTCATTTACCTCATTCTGACCTCACCATTAGCTGTTCAATGTGGTAGATTAAGCAAAGCAGACAACTTGAATTTTAAGTTCTTAATCATTTAGCTCTCCAGAGAGACTGTGACTTCAAGACAAAGAAATATTTATCACCAAAGATACTGGAAACAGAACCTGATGTAGTTGGGATGCTGTGAATATATGCATCCCAGATATTGAAGGTCATGTTGTCAGAAACTGCCTTTACCCAGTGAGCAATATTACCACCCAAGACTTATTTTAAAGATATAATAATCATAATTATTATTAATAATAATGGCAGGATAATAAAGCAGTAACACAAATATACTGGTCACAATTGAATTACAGTTTACAAGAAAGACGAACAAACAAGTTGAATAACACTTCCGAGGAAGAGCCAGTTTGGTGACAACAGAATAAGGCAGCAGAAGGAAGTGATTTAAGGAGATAGCTGGACCTTTAAGACTTGGAAACTTCTGGTTGCTTTCTAACTTCTACCCTTGGGATAACAGAAGCCATTTCAAGTTTCGAGTCAAGGAGTGGTGCTGTAGGCTGATGGACACAATGTTGGCATTTTACCCTCCATAATGATTGCATGAGGAGATGGGACGTGATGAGCTCATGAGTGTTGATCTTTTCTGAATGGGAGTTTATGAAAAGAAAGGCTCTACAATCTTATTCAATTGTCTGTTCTGAAAAGAGGTGGCACACAGGAAATGAAGGAGGAAGGAGAAAAGAATTTTGTTCCAGGACATTAAAATCCTGGAATATACCATTTTTTTGTTTGTGTGAATAAAGATTTAACCGGATGAGAGACGCATACATATGTTTACACAAGTTTTATAGTATTTGATAAAAGACTCATATCTGATTTTTCTTATATCAGTGAATCCCACCAATAACCTTGTCTGTGAGCTTGATACTCCCTCAGTCAAACTTTCTGATATGATTCATATCTCAGTGAAAGGCTGATTATACCCTTTGACTGTCTCTGAGCTAGGCACTAATAAATCATATCAGAATTCTGGACTCACAGCGTGTGTAATAATTGTGTGTGTAGTTTCAAGACACTGCGTTTAGGGCACCATTTTGCAGTAGTAGATAAAAGAGTACAATATTAGAGTAAAATTAGTCACTTACTTGATGTTCTAGTGGTGGAATGACATCTTTCAAGACATGCTGTGAATGATTCCTTCTGTGCCGGGAAATCTGCAAACACATTGACATTTGATGCCGTTACATTGTTTTTCTTTACAAAGTTGAAAATAATTTTAATGAGCACAATTTAGTAGATATGTAAATGCAAATGAACATATTAAAATTTAATTAAATAAGGATAATAACATAGATATAAAATGAACAATGCATTAGATGTTAAATCATTTGAATAAAATTTGCATTTCAACATGGCTGGCTGGAAAAATAGTTTATGTGCTTTTCTAAGGGTTGAATTTCCTCTTATCAAGAATGAAATTAGTATTCTAATTTTGGACCTCACCAAACCTTTATACCCACTTTAACTAAATTATACAATGCCAGTGTCACTATATGGCATTAAAAGTTAGAACATAAACATAATATGCATATCCCTCTTGGAACTCTTAACTTGGACAATAATCCTAACATGATAAGGAAGCTCAAATCATTCCATTCAGTATGTCCACAAGGAGAGGCTTTGCCATTTTATGGTTGGTAGAGTAACGAGGGTCTAGCAACCAGCTTTAACCACCAATCTTGTGACTATGAAACTTCCTGAGGACTGGCTCACCCAGACATGGAGTAGCCTCAACCTTCAAACCTCCAAGCTGTCCTGGAATACCATGAAAAGGAGACAAGCCGAGCTTAGGCTTTATTCAGAAGAAAACATTTTGCTTTTGTTAGCAGACTCTGAGGAAAACAAAATAAATAGTTTACATCTTTGAGTTTCGGCATCTTAAGTTGCAGGAACTGGGAAAAATATTTCATGCTGAAATGTGATGTGATGTTTATGATGCCAGCTCATGATTCTTAAAGTATGTGCTGTGTAATTTTCACCTCTTCCTTTATTGTTCAGATGCCAACAAATATACAAAAGTCACACGGCACATTTTTTCTGAGTGAAGAAGAATGAGAGTTACTGCTCTTTCTCCGGGAGAAGCATCATGGACAAATTTCATCATTAAAGAAGAAAGGGGGAACTTATGATTTAATACGATCTATAGCTTTCATATTTTATATGAAAGAGAGAGCTAGAAAGAAGAAAGCAAAGAGAGAAAGTAGTGGATCCAAGCAATAAACCAGGTCTTAACACTATAAGTAGAGATGAAAATGGTCTTGTGTCTTTGGCTCCAGTTACTGGTATGTTTACCAAACTGAAGAAATTAGATCAATGTCTGTGAAGATTTTGAGGTAATTGTATTGCCAACGAAATCAGAAGCTGGGCCTAAAATCCAGTACCTATACAACCCTGAAACCCCATTATTTATTCCACAAAATCTGTTATGAAGAGAGCAAAAATTGAGATCATTCTCTCCACTGTCCAACTGGAGTCTGAATGGGCATAGTGCACAGAAAAGCACATTTACATAACGGACACACACACAGTATAGGATAATGGACGTGAGGTGTTCTCCTAGGCAGAGGAACCAGAAATGGTCTTTACCACAGCAAGGGTCCCACAGGGTTTGCCCAACAGGACACAGTCATTATTTTAACATACCATGTTTTCTCATTTACCTCACTCTGACTTCACCATTAGCTGTTAAATATGGTAGATAAAGCAAAGAAGACAACTTGAATTTTAAGTTCTTAATCATTTAGCTCTCCAGAGAGACTGTGACTTCAAGACAAAGAAATATTTATCACCAACGATTCTGGAAACAGAACCTGGTGTAGTTGGAGGCTGTGATAAATTATCTTCGTTTTTAATGTGATTGGATCTGAAATCAACTAAGAAACACATATCTGGCCTATTCATTTAGAGAATTTCCAGGAAGGATTAGCTGTGGATTAGGGGAGACCCTCTACAATTTGGGCAGCATCTTTGGCCAATAGCCTGGAAGACAACTGGTCCAGGAGAAAAGTGTTGTTGCAGCCTAAAGGCTTTGGCTCTTTGCAGTTTAGCGTGCACTTCTTCTAGTGGTTGTCACTATGGTTGCTGTCAGAATACAGATTCTTTGACCTTTCAGTGTGAACTTAAGACCAGCAGCTCTCCAGGAATGCTCCAGGTCATCAGCACTAGACCAGGACTGATGGGGCCTCTGAATTCTCAGATGCTGGGCTATCTCAAGTCTATAGACAGCCACTTCTGGAGCATCTTCCCCCCCTATCATTTAAGCCAGCCTCCGGTGTATTGGATAGAATTGTCTAGAGGAATGGGACAGATTGGGGAGAGGAAGATAGACACATTTCTAAGTGTTGGAAAATAGATACAAAAGTAAGAGAGACAAAAGAAGAAGATGTACTCTTGTACCCGCACTTAGCCTAAGTTACAGCTAAGGCTTGCCATTTGACTGGTTTAGGCTAAGAGAATATGAACAGAAACAAAGCTATAGCTATATCAACAGCCAACATTGTTCCAAATTCTCTTTCTTTTGACAATTGGCTAAGAGTCAAACTAATCTATGTGAAAGGAGGCTCAGGACCCTAAGACACCATGGGGAGGAAACTAACCTAGCTCAGAAAGTTTACTTCTATGAATCATTTTACTTCAAACTTGGGGAGGAATAGTTTTCTATTCAGAGAAAATTTCAGAGCCTCCCTGTAGGAAACAGCCTTCTTTTGCATAAATGAGAAATAAATTCTTATTTCTTGGAGCCATAATGTGGTTTAGAGAATTTGAAACTGGCATTAGCTCAAAAAGATAACCATGGTAGATACTAAATTGATGTAAAGATGCAAAATCTTATGCTCAAGGATGCTGATAGCAAAAGTAGTCAATGAGAGGAACCCTAGAAACCCCAACTTCACAGTGGCTGTCTCTGCTACTCAGCAGTAAGAAATGACCTTAAATAAGTAGAAAGTTATCCCTTGACGGCACACATTTGGAACCACCTCTCTCTCTCTCTCTCTCTCTCTCTCTCTCTCTCTCTCTCTCTGTTTTTTGAGACAGGGTTTCTCTGTGTAGCTTTGGAGCCAGTCCTGGAACTAGCTCTTGTAGACCAGCCTGGCCTTGAACTCACAGAGATCTGCCTGCCTCTGCCTCCTGAGTGCTGGGATTAAAGGTGTGCGTCACCACTCCTGCAGTTTAAAAATCTTAAGGTTTTGCAGAAAGATTATCCTATCAAGGTCATTTACTAGTCTCGCCACACATTTTACTTTAAAATGAAACTGTTAAAATTATATTAAATGAGTAAATAGGAAAGAAATATGGGGAACTCATAGAGAAAGCCAATGATTAAAATCTGAAAAATGTTAATGATAAAAATTGAGAGAAATGTCTATATTGAACACATACTTGGTTTTCTCTTGAAATGGACCATTGGATCCATGATCTAGTTGAACCAAATTTAAATTCAAAATGATGAAAAGATGCTAAAATTTATGGAGTATTAAGTTGCCGGGTGCGATTGAAGGCTTTTTGCATACATTAGAATGTTAAATCTCACAAACACTTTAAGAAGTCAATAATATTATCCTGTTTTATAAATACTGACACAGTTTGAATTATTTGGTGAATCTATAGCTAACAAAAGCATAGATAATATTTTAACTTGGATCAGTATTTACATACTTATCATGTTTTATACAACTATCATCCTTTGCATATATGGATGACATATATATTATACATGCATATATATAATCATATGTGTATCTCATCAGTAATAAAGTTACGGAGAGCTGAAAATTTGAGTTCTTTCAGTGCGAAAGAGAATGTTTCTAAGGTAGATGTTTGAGAAAGAGTCAAGCATTTAAATTTGCACACATTAACAGGGAAGCTAGAAATCATTTTCAAACCGTTTATAAATCATCTTAATCCTTCTTTGGGGGAGGTAATACTCCTGATCATTCCTAACTCAATAAGCTGCTGATTGTCATATTCAACTGAGTTATGAGGGTGTTGAAAACAGAGGCCTTTCATCACCCATTCTTTACTAAAAACAGTCTTCCCTGGAAAGCAAAGAAACATGTCATTCCAACCAGATTAGGCTGACTGAGAGTTATGGTTTTGAAAATTCTGTTTTCATAATGGCTTGGTTGCTACATATAGATATCAGGAAAAGTTAGGATAATTCAAACTGTCTTTCCATTGATGTGGGAGTGTCATATATCAATCTGTTGATTTCATTGGTTAAGTAATAAACCAACTGCTTGACCCATTTATATCTAGCCTCTTCTAGGCTAATTCTCACATATTAATTTAGCCCATTTCTAATCATCTGTGTAAGCACCCCAAGGTGCGCTTACCGGGAAGATTCTAGCCTCCGTCCATCATGGTGTCTCTGCTCCAGAGAGCAGAGCTGTCCGGTCTCTCTGGAAGCAGAGCAGACTCTGACCTCACTTCCTCTTCCGCCCAGAATTCTATTCTGTTTCCTCCTCCCATCTATGTTCTAAGCTATGAGGCCAAGCAGTTGGTTTATTACTTAACCAATGAAATCAACAGATTGATATATGACACTCCCACATCACTCCATGATATATGTAATTGAAATGATAAATATGAAGAAAACTTGTGAACAGTCAAAATTCTCATGAAATAAGTTTGGAGGAAAAAAAGACTCAAACTGAATTATAAAAAAAAGAAATTTTTATTGTATCTTTATAGACATTAAAGAGTTACTAATTATTGTCTGGTTTGGTGAGTTGTCTTAGGATACCCCTTATACACGACAGTTTAAGACAGTAGATCCCTATGGTCAATGAGTGTTGCCAGAACAATCTTCATATTCGACACACACATTTCAGTAATTTCTGAGTAGATCATTGAAGTACACTTGTTTATGTTATCAAATATTTCTACTATGAGCACAGGAAAAGAGTGTTTCATTTAGACAGCCCTAGTTAGTCCCAAGAATTCCAAAACTGAGACATACTCAGTTTCAGACACCTATGTTTTGTCAGAAGTTGTTTATGCCACGTTTCAGGATCTGGCAAAGTCTGTTTGTTCCTTTGAACTTCCTGTTATCTTGTAAATAGTTGATGAATTCAAGCAGTTGAACAGCAATGAGAAACTATAGTAGTTTAGTATAACTTTATTTCAGCAAGTTATTTGCTCATGTAATTATGGA